TTTAACCTCCAGGTCATAGACTTGAACCCAACATTAAAATGATGGGCATTTTTATCAAACAGTCTTTTGACAGTTTTGTGTGTTACTCTTTTTAGCCATAAAGTAATTTTCATTTTCGAAATTAACTCAAATTTGGTCTAGTAGGAATGATTTTGCCCTCAGTTTACACGATGAGAAAAACACATGCAATCCAGCCATCCAATCAAAAAAATCAGCTCAAAATCATAAGAGCTGTAGAACTGCTGCCGTGTGTTATGAATGCACTTTTCACCAGCTGTTATTGACTCTCAATGATTCTTACCTAACTGAGAGTAATGCGATGAGTCCCCAGCTGCAACATCACACTTTTACACCATCAATTGATTTGTATCTGCTAATGTTCTTTTTCTTCTCTCTAGATACCTAAAAGCCTCGGTAATTCTAAGGAGGCATAGAAGTGAACAAAAGACAAATAAGACAGACATTAGCAGAAAAAAAAAAGAAAGGGTGCCAAAAGGAGTAAAATAGATGTTTTGTAGCAGGAAAAAGAGAAAAAATGGAATTTTACTTGATCAAGGCATAGGCTTAGTAGGGGGGGGGGGGAAGAGATAATGGTGATGACAGGAAAAAGGGAGGATCACTGGGTACACTACTATTACTTCAGTGATGGATTGTCGGCGATGCAGAAAAAGCTACAGTACGTGGAGGGATGGAAATACATTTAATTGGACACGTTATAGAGGAGACGGCTCAAATGGATGATAAGGCAGTCGTGATATGGAGACGGGTGAGAATGGGAAGGACATTCAGATTGATGAGTCATCACACAGGCGGGAAAGAGAAGCAGAATTGTAAAGATAGATGAGAACCAACAGATGAGAGTGGTGGGTCAGAGTGTTATTTTGGTCGCCTTTCCAGCAAGACAGGTACCAGAGCCCAAGCCATATGTGGAGGCAAGTCTGGCGAAATCAAATTGGAACTTCGTTACCTCGCATAACCAGCTCGGGCTTTCTTCCCTGCCAGAGAGGTGATATTCCACATCTCAAGAGCCAAATTCTGCACCCGGGGATCAGACTGCCGAGGTCCGTAACTTTGGCCGCGGCCCAGCTCACTACGCACCCGAACCTGTTGGCCCCTCCCAGAGGTGGTGAGCCCATGGGAAGGAGGATCCATGTTCTCATTTCGGGCTTAGCCCCACCTGGCCTGATGGGTGGGGCTAATGATCGCCTTTGAGTCACACCTATAGGCGTGGCTCCAGAGGGAGGTCCGGTAACCCGCCTTTGGGCAAGGGAACACTTCACAAGGGGTCTCTAAGTTGTCCTTGGTCTTGTCCCTCACATAGGACCTGTTTGCCATGGGTGACCTTGCCAGAAAGCCCCAGAAAACTTTTCTCCTTGGATCCTTGGGACACTCAAACCCCTCCGCCATGATAAGGTGATGACTCATGGAGGGGAACGTAAGAACCTCGCTTATCTATGAGCGATTATTTTTATTTTGTATACAATTGGAGAGCAAAAGCGATGAGCAAGAGGCATAGATAGAGAGATGACAGACAAAGGGAGAAGAAGATAGCAGAACAGATTCTGCACATTCACGGCATCGCTTTTGTCTTTATGCAAGAATGGAACAAAGAGGCTCAATCAGAGACGCCTGCCGCCACGCCAGCTTGATGCTGTGAAATAAATTATATGTGGAGGATAAAAACACTGATACAAACCTCTAAATCCATTAACTAATTAAGCAGAGCACGAAATAGCTAAATTTGTCATCTCACCAACAGATTTGGGGATTTGAATATATATTTTGTTACAGCGTGACTGTGTTCCAATGCACAAAGAAAAGCCCATAAAGACTTGGACGAACTTTAAGTTCTTGGATGAAGAGTGAAATCTGTTATTGCTCTAAAGCACAGGGGTCAAAATCAAGGCCCAGGGGCCAGCTCTGGCCCACTACATCATTTTATGTGGCCTGAGAAAGCAAATCAAGCATGTCAACTTCCATGATGCTTGCTAAAGTCTGAACCAAAATTTCCAATTGTCATATGTAATCCATAATAACGTGGAGGTATTGCAAGTATATTCTCGTTTCCAAAACCCCTTTTTACATTAACGTAAACATTGTTTAAACAAGTCATTATTCTTGACTTCTGATTTCAAAATTAGATCTCCATCAATTTGTTGTGTGCTGTGTATGTAAACCCGTTTTCAATTACACTGACTAGACATTCCAATACTCCTGAAGCATCCAGTCAACATGTGTCAAAATAAAAAAAAAAACACATATTCTCACAAAGGGGAGAACCCTACATTTCAGACTAGAATTTCTAACAAGGCATTGCAATACCAAGTCTTGGAAATAAGCACAGATAAGCAACAACAGAAATGCTTCTGTGATTCATCTATCCATTTTCTATACTGCTTATCTTGTTCAGGGTGACAGGGGGCTGCAGTCCATACCTGCTGGCTTTGGGAAAGAAAGTCCTCCACTTTACAGTCTGAACTGGGGGCCAGTCAATCAGAGACCACTTACATTCACAGCAGTACTGAATTGGAAGTGAAACAATGCTGTCTGACAAGTGAAACACTCACGAGTCGATCAACGACTTGCTGCTGTGATTTTAATGCTGTTAATGTATCCTTTCAATATTCATTTCAAATAGTGCCTTTTGTGGAGAGTTAGAATTAGATGGGCAATAGAAGTATAGATATGTGTTATTTGCAAAAAGTGGGTGGTAAATAAACACCACATTTTTACTTTATTACTGTTAAGTTTTTGTTTAGGTCACATTTGGTTTTGTTCCCTCATGTGCCTTTTTTGTCTCCACCTGTTCTTGTTGTCCTCATCTGTTGTGTTGAACCAATCAGCTCCCTCAACCCTTTGTGTCTTGTCCAGGTGTTTCTCGTTGTCTCGTCACTTAGCTTGTATTTAGTTGCCTGGGTTCTGTCAGACTTTGTTGGGTCATTGTGAGTGTGTGTGTTCCTATGTCATGTCATGTCATGTTTTGTTTTTGTCATAGGTTTTTTTTGTTTGTTACTTTCAGGACTTTTGAGTTATATTCACCAGTGTACCCTGCAAGTGTTTTTTGTTAATACATTTTGTTCACCCCACCCTGCTCCTCCAGCCTCCCCGCTTTTTGGGGTCCTCAAACTCCTCTACCACCTCGCAAAACGTGACAATTACTTGATGTGTCAAACAAGTAAATTTGCTAGCAAATAAGATGACGTTCGTGGTCCAGCTGAACTGTGCACAGTGAGCAAAAAGCTCCACCAAGCAATATCCAAATGAAAGGTAATACTTTTGACTCCTCTACCGCATTGTTGATTTACACTCAATATGGTTTGAGCTTCAACACAAAGCAAACAACAGTGTGTCAATTATCATAGGCTGTAAGACTGTGCTGATGGGTCTCTATTACCAAGGTGCTATATTGACTGTGAACCACATAATCGACTTGGGTCAATTTGCTAGGCAGAGAGAACGAATTCCTGGCAGGCAATACGCTTGGATTGCATTTAAACAGCTTGGACATACAATAAATATACAGCATGTCCATCAAACACAAACACATATTATATTGTAAACTTCTATCCTAATGATTCACAGTAACATGAATGTGTACTGTGAAATCATGTCCTCATTAGATTATGGTGTTTTTGTACAGCAATTGCAAATAGTTTGTATTTTATAAGTGTCACTACTTTTAGCAGTTGTGTTACTTTGAAGTGATCCCCACATGAAAAGAACAACACTGGCTCTGTTTAGATGCCTGCTAGCTTAAGTAAAGTTATTTTCAGCAAAACATTTCAAAATGATATGCATTACTAATGTGTCCTGGGATTCTGATCGATTTGCAGCATTTGAAAAGTTATGAAAAATTGAGAAGTGGTTGTTGCCCCCCAAACTTCATTGCGAATGCAAAAGGATTTGGAATGCTGTTTAAGTAGTCCTCAGCACCTTTGTGAATGCAACGCACCCAACGTGCAGTGCAAACATTCACTGCTTAAATGATTAATTTGGAAGTGTTTAGAGTGTTTACTATAATACATCTGGACTCCTTGAGCTGTGTGAGAGCTGTGAGAAACTACTTCTCTATGTCCTTCTCTATGTCAGCCTGATGCACAGTTGGGTTTCAGCACCATGGACAGTTCATGTCGATGTTAAAAGTATGCGGCATGGCTGCAGGTTATTGCTCTTTCCAAAACAAAACGTGCACACGCGCACCAAGGTCTTTAGTTGGAAAATAATGGATATAATAATACTGGACTATCTGTCTGTGTTTGAGGCACGTCTATGGGACTTTATTAATTCGATCATTGGCACTGTAGTAGGGTGATGATGTTTCTTCGGAACAGTGACTGACAGGGGCTCTCATAAAAGTATTTTCAATTTACAATATTTCGCCCCCCCCCCCAAAAAAATATGCTCACAGACTCCTTAATTCCCATGTATTGTACTTGTACTAATGCTCACCTTAGTCCAGGGGTGTCAAACTCATTTTTGTCGCGGGCCACTTTGGAGTTACGTCTTCCCTCGGAGGGCCGTTAAGACAGTGAAACCGAAATAATGTTTCATCATCACATCGCATTATTACTTCTACACCAAAATATGATGACTCACTAGTTTTGAAGTCAGTCAAGTATTTGTTCAATTATTGCTTAAGTGAGTGGAAACCAGGTAACAATTATTGCAAAATGTCACTGTTAGTTATTACGTGTGACAATTTGAGAGTTCGGAACAGATTTAAGCAAGGATCATGGAAGTTGACACGGATGATTTGCTTTCGCGGGCCACATGAAATGATGTGGCGGGCCGGATCTGGCCCACGGGCCTTGATTTTGACACCGGTGCCTTAGTCACATCAATCACCGAAGCAACCGCACAAGCAAGCACTGTTCACAGGACAATGTTTATAACATAATCTCTTGTTGTTGCATTTTATTCAAATTCCTTTTTCTGTGGCCATATGTTTTCTCTCGTCGTTTTTTTTTTTTCTGGCTTTTTTTTTTCGTGCAGGCTGAACTAAACCTAGGACAGACACGCGAGGCTACTTTGGACCAATGCGTCAGGATGGATTGCGTTTGACGCAGGAGGAATCCTTCATTCCAACTTCTCAAGGGAAACAAGCCAACGTTTCTTTTCCCCTCTGACTCGCCAAACGAGAATAACACACACCGAGACATTTAACATCAGATACGCGATTCATGCCAAAGATTATAAGCGTGTAAGAAAGTGCGCAAATGAGCTCCCAATCACACCAGCAGTTACACGGGGAAGGTGAAAGTATACGACGTAGAAAGAGTGCGTGAGAGCGAGTGAGACTGAAAGAGGGAGAGAGAGCGCGAGGGAGGAGGTGGCGCGCATGTCCAGTTGCTCCATGCAGTCTGCTCTCCAAGCTCGCCAATCTTGCAACGACTTTCTCCACTCCTTCTGCCCGCCTCTGTCTATCCATGTGCATCGGACACGCAGCTCTCCCCTGAGCGGACCGTGCATGCAGGGGGGAATAACCGCTAAAAGCCCACCATGGAATAGGAATTACTATCCAGGACAAAACGTACAGTACACGGAGAAAACCTTCCTCTTTTTTTTTCTGCCGTCTTCCCTCCCCCTTCCTCCCTGTCAATGTATCGCAACACTTTTTGAAGGAACCCAAGTGAAGAAACATGAGGATTAATATTTTCTCTTGGCACTTTCTGGGCTTGTGTTCTGTCTGGTGGGGGCTGTCGACGGGAGCGTTCCCCAGCTCAGTGCAGATTGGTGAGTTGGAGAGATTTTTTTTTTTTTTTAATACGGATGTGCATTTCAAAGTCTCCAAGAAAAAGCAGCTGAAAAAAAAAAGAAACCAAAATCGTTGCATGGAAACATTTTGAGCAAGGTTTTTTTTTTTTTTTTTTTTTACTCATTCTCAAAGTCATAAAAATAAGACATACAAAGTGTTTGATTTTGTCTGTGTGTGAAAATTTAAAAAGCTTTTTCATTCTTCAGTCTCATCTCTCTTTAGACACTGCAGTATTTCTCTCTCTCTCTCTCTCTCTCTCTCTCTCTCTCTCTCTCTCTCTCTCTCACCCTCGAGCTCTCTTTGCTTCTACTTATTGTGAACGCGGTAGCAATTCCTTCGCAAAGCACATGAACCAAGTGATAAAGTTTGCAAAATAGAGATCACCGTTGCAGATGACCGCACGTGCATGGGAGCTTGTTGGGCGCGCACACACCACAGGCACGCAGGTAAATGTGTGATAATGAATTCAATGCATCACTCCTTGTGGGGGGGGGGCAGTTAGAACTTGGGAGGTCCTATAATGGGATTCATTTCCTTGACTCTGTACCTACGGCTGCCAATAAACTTGGTATGCGGAATATTTTTGAAAATTGGCATCCCATACACGTCTGCATTGCTTTCTGAACACACGCCATATCAAATGTGCAATGTGGAGTGTCCTCACACAGCAAAGGGTACTTTAGGCTGAAAGGCGGCTGGTGGGTGATTATTGAGGGTCATAACTAACCGGGGGGGCCTTCAACCACATTAGAGTATTACATGGTTCATGCTGCTTCAGATAATGTATTTTTTTGTGTGTGTTGTCATTGCATTGCACGTTCATGCATGTGGCAAGTATACAAACGCCAGTTCATGTGTGAACCTGCATGCAGACGCTGCTGAGAGGCGGGAAAGGTTCTGTGCACACATATGTGACCTTTTCGTTTGCCTGTTGAGCCACTCACGTGGAGACATGGATCTGCAGTGTAGTTTCACAGGAAGCTTTGTTCTGCGTTTTTCACAGTGAGACTTGGTAAAACGTAAATCTAGTTGAGAGAACTGTAGTACAATGAAACCTTGGAAGTCGAACGCAGGCTCGTCTATTAGCTGGATTTGTATGCCATTTCGGGGGTGGGGGGGGGGATCCTGTTTGTTGCAACTTTCAAATTGTCCTATCAGGGGGTTGCCTGAGTTAGCGAGTCAATTTATTTTTAATCAGGGTTTAGGATCATCCATGGCTGGCTATTAAGACACTGATGAGGAATTGAACCGACGCCATCTGCAAGAATGGCAGCAGTATGTATACACCACTACACTACCAGTGCAAAATCCCATACTGTCTGAAGAGTAGAAATTCCATCCCCAGTTATAACTTATCCAAAAGTAACGTTTAACATCCTTTTAATTCACTCGTCATACAAGACTGAGTCGACCACTGTAAAACTTACCATTCCGTCTTAACTTTGTCACCAACAGACAATGTGTAGTACCCCAGACAAAAAAATAAATAAATAAAATAGAGGTGGTGTGGGTTTATTGCCTCACAAAGCCTCCTTCTCTTCTCAGGTTATTCCCTGTGTTTTGGAATAAGTCTGTCAAAAGCCACAATAAAGCAAAGAAAAAGGAAAGAGTCAAGCCTTTGATGCCGGGTGAACCGAGATTTCTTGACATGGCGTCAGGCAGGACGGCCATCCACCTTTTGGAATAAATGCTGCAAAAAGCCAAAGACAAAGGAAAACACATGCAGAGAGTTAAATCTACTGGATGATGGTTATTCGTTTGGAGTTTTGTGTGATATTCTGTTGTCACGCACTAAGGCCATTAATAATGATGGTCCATCTTTTGGGATAAGTGCCACGATAAGGTCAAACGTAAAAATCGACTAAAAAGGCACAACATATGCCCGCTCATATCTCATTGTGTGATGTATTGCCTGATGGCAATTTGAATTCTAAAATTGTGGGCTTTACACTGTAGGCATATTTGTTCCAAAACATTTATTTTGGAACTCTACGGTTGATGGGATGTTCAAATTTCAATGTTCCACCGAACGCCATCCAAAACAAACTGCATTTCAGAAACAGAACGCTTCCAAACCCCAGGAGTTCATGTTCGCATAATCATTATGCGATTACACTGCATCACATTTCTTGCCAGTCCATTTATATTTCCGGTGAACATGCGAGCTCCCAGTCTTATTTTAATGATCGCATTTTGATAATTTGTGAGTTATTTTTCCAAGTTCATCTGAGATAATTAAGAGGCACGCAGGATGAACCCCAAGTGAGACAAAGACACACTCGGGCAAAGGTAGATGGCACGTTGTCGCAATAATGGCTCCGTTCATTATGTGCTGCCTGCTGACTCCTCCCTTGTCATCTTTTCTTGTCCTCTCCCATCTCCTTCGCTCTTTTGCTGTTAAAAGTCAACTCAATCACTTTGTTTCCTAATCAGTTCAGCCCTTGAAGCATTGGCCAAATCTCAGAGGTTGATGTAAGGGGGAAAGAATGACTTTAAATGCATGGACAAAGGTATTGGGACGTTGCACTAGCCCCATTAGTTGCCTCTGAATCATGGTGGGAACAGTTTGGGGAATGCCCAGTTCTGTTTCAAGGTCACACTCAAGGAAAAAAAAAAAAAAATCACAATGACAGCACTTTTAAACCGTAACGAGAGCTACAATTGGATATTTTGCAGAAAAACTATTATACAGTGAAGAACTTTCCTATATGCAGTTCTCACCATAATCAGCATCACTGGTTGATAATCCCGATTAGTTGTTGCTCCAACACAGACACAGTTGTGCCTGATATTCTTTACTTTCTCCAGAAAATTACAACTTTATTCACATGTGCAGAAGCAATATAGGCAATAAAATATGTTGATTAGATAACAGGGAAACCTATTGGTTGTTTATTCTAAAGTGTATATATCCTTTACCTGAACATACGATTATTGTGTAGAATTTTCATTAGGATACCTGAATACTGAAAAATACAGTGGCTGCAGTCCTCCATTCAACCGCCCCGTTACATTGTCCTATATTTAGTAAAAGGCTTGCTTCAGGTGCCGAGGATTAACTGTTAAAAAAAAAAAAGCTCTTCAAAATTAGTAATTTACTCAAATGAAGTACCGTAATTTATTAGCAAAATTGTTCGTCAAGAAAATGTTTTATTTTGTCACGATTAACAGGGCTTTTGTACAAGCAACCATGTTTGTTGATTTTCTGTTCTGTGTGCATGTGTTTATTCTCCTATTGAATTTGTACTAACGATACAAGTCCTATTCTATTCATTTTCACTTCATTAGCATAGTTTCTGGGGTTAGTCTGATTACAATGTCTCCGGCTTTGTTCATAAAAGGAGCCCCTCTGGGACTCCTTGGGAATTTGTCAAAGCTTTTCTTTGCATGGAACCCAGAGTATGCGGCGTTCTGCCTTCCATGCTCAAATGTTTCTTCTCTCCCACCCATCTTTGTGCTCCTTTTTAATAGTTTGATTTTGTCTCATTTCTTTTATCTTTAATCACATTCTCATTTGGTCCCATGGGATACGAGTCTCTCATAAAAGGTCAACTGACACTTTGTATCCGCGTCGTCATCCTTTTTTTGTGTGTGGCCTCTGCTCTTCTTTTATGTGGCTGGCATTTTTGTGATCTGGCCTTCTTGTGTTATCTGCTCCCTCTTCTCCAACTCATTCTCTTTTTGTCCACTGACTTCTGACAAGATAGCTGTTTCTATTTTTTTCCTTCCCTTACATCTCACTCCCTTTTTTTGATTTCATCAATGAAAATGCACCGCACTGGTATCCATGAATTTTCTTTCACGGGTATGCATGTGCGTGTGCTGATAGACAAGTGGCATTTTTCTTGGAGATATAAATGAAGATCTTACTTTTATTTTCTCTCTCTCTCTCTCTCTCTCTCTCTCTCTCTCCTTTTTTGGCATCCGCCCTCTCTCCTCATCAATCTTTCTTGGCGCGCATCCCTCTTTCTCCTCTCCATCACCTTTTCCCTTGTCTCACTCCCTAGGCGGCTTGTTCATTAGGAATACTGATCAAGAGTACACAGCGTTTCGACTAGCTATCTTCCTTCACAACACCAGTCCGAATGCTACGGAAGCCCCCTTCAACCTGGTCCCACATGTCGACAATATAGAGACAGCCAACAGTTTTGCAGTCACCAATGCATGTAAGTATTTCAGCCTTCTCTACATTCTGGAATGTCTTTGCTGAATATTAGTATTTGGAACTTCAGTGGCGTAAACAGGTCTATCCAGTGCTGTTTCTGCATTACGAGTTGGCGTATATGGCCGACTTTTGTTTTTGTTTTTTGCATTGCCTAATTTTTGTTTAACACAGTCGTGTGATTCATCCATCCATCCATCCATCCATCCATTTTCCACCGCTTATCCGGGGTCGGGTCGCGGGGGCAGCAGCTTTAGGAGGGAAGCCCAGACTTCCCTCTCCCCAGCCACTTCTTCGAGCTCTTCCTGGCGGATCCCGAGGCGTTCCCATGCCAGCTGGGTGACATAGTCTCTCCAGCGTGTGATTCAATTGTGAATTTTTTACGTCGGGTGAAATACTTCTTGAAGGCCTCCAGAAACGATTGCAAAACAATAATATGATCAAAAAGTACATTACATCAAAGCAAAGACAAAAAGTAAAGACAATGTATCCATCCATCTATCCATATCCTTATCTACTCTCTTTCAAAGCAGCCTAGTTTCAGTTCTTATGCTTCACGTATTCTGCCCTGCATTCATCTAGATTTTAGTTTGCTGCTGCCTACTTAACATTTTACTTCAGTAGTTACATTTTATGATAAATCTTAAATGATTTGTGGTTTGTGCGATTCATACCGTGTCTTCTCTTCAGCGCTTTGAATAAAAGAAAAAACACACTTCAAACAGTAATTGTGAGTACAGAGGTCTACCTACAAGTGGTCGGTCCCCGGCCAGTCTGTCCTCTAAAAAAAATGCATCTGGTGGGGTGTGGTCTTTGATAGCCAGGATGTAAACTAGCATGCAATAACTATTGACTCAATTCCACAAAACGTTCGACAGGGCTGGAGCATAGGCCAGTACAAAAAAAGAAGAAATAAAAAGCAAAACACCTGCACACTATGGGGCAAATCTGCAGCATTCTTCTCGCTCTGTCAGTTTGACCTTCTCAGAGGCCTCTGCTCTCGAAATGGTGCTTTTTTTTTTTTAATAAATCCCGAATGCAAAAGGCTATGTTGTATCGTCCTTTAAAAGATATTTTTTTGTTGGTGTAATATCGATGGAATGTAACTTGGATGTGCTAAAACAAAACTCTTGTTTTGTACCACTGGTGCTAACATTGCAGCAAAGCCACATACTTTATACCATCATAAAAGAAGTCTTTGCGGATTGCCAGAAACTTCTCTATGTATTGATTTCCGCCCAGGTTATTTCATCTTTTGACTTCTTGTGCTTGAAATGATCTCGGCCCGGAAACCAAGTTGTGGTCCTTGGAATGGCCAGTCAACAATTTCTTGGGGTCTGGTGTGGCAAGTGTCTGTGTCCGAAAGCATTAGTTTGTGATGGGTTAGTCTTGTGTGAAGATCCCTCGCTTTGTGAGATCATGAGTCAGGGAAGCTGCTGTTGTTGTTAACAGCAAAATTCACAAGAGGCGTTTGATCCTGGAATGGACCAATAAATGTCCCGGTTCAATTCGATCTGGTGTTTAAACTGTCATCCTCATCATCAATAGTGCTTCAAAGTCTGAAACAAAGAATAGCGACTCGCTGTTGATTCATGATGCGATATGAATACCGTCACTCCAGACAAAAACCTGTGAAAACTCTCAATGCAAGTCATGAATGTACAAATCAACACTGTGTGCTGTGTCCTTCCCAATGATTTGATTTGACTAAACGTGTGCCATTTACTCATGACAAGAATTTTGTAGTTAAAACAGCCAAGAACATTTCCATAATTAATTGTCCATTTAGTTCCTCCATCCCGCAAGAATGTCTTACCCGGTTTCAGCGAGCATGTGTGCGTGGGAAGGAACACAGTGAAAACATATCAGATTGCATCCTATTGTATAATGAGGACGTAGGAATTGCTGTTGCATTAAATGGATGTGAAGCGTTTGGAGAGAGCAGAAGAATCCAACTGGCGTTTTACGATGCATCTGTGCACCACCACGACAGTTCATGCATAAAATGAGCAGCCAGCTCTTCTCTCCTTGTACTGTACTTACAATTGCATCCGCATGAAGTCCTCAAATAATGACTAACTTCTAATGCTACAAAAGCAAACGTGGTCTAAAGCTGCAGAAATATTTTAGTGGGTTCAAAGAAACACCAGTGGCTGTCAAGAACCCCCTTTTTTTGGTTTGATTTCAAGAAGTGTACGCAATTATAAAAAAAAATGACAATAAAAAATACAAACGTTTGATTTCAAGAAGTGTACGCAATTATAAAAAAATGAAAATAAAAAATACAAATGGAGCTCTGCTGGCTTGTTTCAGTATTCTTCATCTCTCTGCTTTACTGAGGGGGTGTGAAAGATAACACTGAATAAAATGTGAGGTCAGAACATTTCAATACATTTGGCCAGAGAAGAAATTGAGAGTGTAAGAATATGAAGAACAGTGTCTATTCCACCACTTTTGAAATCAATTACTGACAACCTTTTGTGCTGGATGAATCTGCCTTTATCCCACATTGGCCGAATAGCAACAGTCTTAATGTCCATCCTTCCAAAAATAAAATACTTCCAGTCCACATTTCTATCGAACAGACGTCCACCGTGACAAACAAAGTCGACCTCCCTGTGAACTGGAATTCACTACTGCATGTCTTAGAACACTGACCATTCGCCTTCTTACTGTCCTCTCCTTTGTCACTGTACATTGGTTGTGTGCCCGCCCCTTTTTTCTACAAACCGTCCTCCAAATTCACATACAGTAGACACACTCACCTATATATACACAAATTCACTCTCTGAAACAAATATTCACTGTACCTTCTCGTTTCTTTATTCATTTTTCATCGTTCATCACGACTGAAGCCATCCCTATAAGAGGTCGGCAAAGGTCAGCAACACTCCAACCTCGAGTTCGACGCCGACAAGCAAACATCCCAAGCCCCAATCTGATCCCAATGTTGCAGATTTAATGGAGAGTCATCATGTCCGCGACATCTAGCAAGCTCATATTGTCTAGCACTGGTGAGCTTGTGGGAATTGTAGTATCAATTTCCTGTTCTTTTGCTCACCGTAGCGATAGCAGATATTAGCCCATCTTCTATTTTATCCCCCAGTAGTAACACACTGTTATTTTGATTCATTGTCACTTTTCTATCATCTCCAACCTGTCAGATCAGTCTCTTCTTTGACCTCATTTGACCTCTACACCCCCCCCCCCACCTCCCCCAGGAGAGCTGCATTCTCACTGCATATATTACTTTCAATCAACTACCTTCGACAAAATTCTGCACGCATTCCACACAAAGAAATCATTCCACTTCGGTTATTTACTCAGTCACTAAAAAGAGACATTATACATTTTTGGTCAAAGTTTTAAATAGTTTCCAGTATTCAGCCAGGACTCATTCGATCCTACAACTGTGCCTGTGCTGAGTCTGGCCTTTTGCAACGCCCGAGGCTGGGCGACAGAGGCTCCATTTTGCCAGTAAGCGCAGGCATTTCCGTACATTTCCGGTGCTTGCTTTGTCAAATTCTCTGTCAGACGCACTCACACGCCCACACTCACACACATATACCCGCGCGCACACGCCCACTGCTGCCAGTTAGCCATACGGCGAGGAGTGTCTGTAAACTGAAGCTCTTCTAAGTGAAGCAACTCACACTCAACAAGCAGAAAACACTTCTGCTGTGTCTTGGTTTCAAGTCTCTTATTCTATTCCTCCTTCCCGCTTTTGTCCTTCCCTTTTCCACCTCATTTCTTTCTCTCTTTTTCTGCACGTTTCGTCCTCATCACGTTTTGCCGACTCTCCCTCAGCACGGGCGTGGTGAATGGATCTCTAAATTAATCCATGGCTCTTGCTCCGGGTGGTGAGCAATGCCTCTGAATTAGAAGAGGGAATTCTCTTTCTGACCTTGACCAGGTCCTTTTTTTGGGGGGGGTGGGGGGTATTCAGGGAGCGTGTGGAGATTATTTTGAATAAATCACATTTCCTGCTAGCATTGTCACACGTTCACACTGTGTATTTTCTGCCGCTGCTGGTCTATCTTTTCGACTTATTTGCAGATGAATACATACAGTGTCCTATCCTAGGAAATCACAATAGTTTCACCCAAAGGTGTGGTTGAGGTGAAGTTCTTCTATTCCTCTCAAAAATGTTTTTATAGACCTTGTCTTGTGCATTGAGGTTCAGGAACAACATATCGGAAAAACAGCCTTTCCCAAACTGTTCCCACAAAATTCGATCCATACTTACACTATCATGAAGGTGAATCATTTAGATTCATGCAGGATCATTCATTCACCATGAAGAAGTGTGTCTGTATAATGTCTGCCTATGTAATGTATCACATTGGATATTTGCCTTCTTTAAAATCTCTGTTTGTTAGACTGTTGTTATATTTTACCGTTTGTGGCATTGTGAGTTTTAGGGACTATGCTTCACCTCATGGTGAATCTCTGAAGCAATGTATTTACATTCATATGTCATTCCGGCCCCAAGGTGTTGCGCATCTTTCGTCGGCTGGGCTCGGCTTCAGCTCCCCAGTTTCGAAAATGGATGGGCAGATGTCATGCCTTAACCAACACCATATATGGTCAAACCTCGGTTTTCAAATGTCTCTGTTATCGACCAAATCGGGTTTCGACCAGAAATCCGATATTTTTACACAACGGATTGCAACCGAAAACCGGTTTTCGACCAAACTGAGCAAATCTGAATACACCACTCGACTCCTCTCGGCTTCGATACACGAGGTCGTCTAGTAATCTCAACAAGGTGCCAGTTTTAAATTCACCCCATTTCTTTCATCTGTGATAACTGAAACACTCTTTTGCGCTCACTGGTGGAGTGTTAACTGCCCCCTGCTAAGTGTTCCTTTGTCAAATCATGTTATTGTGGCCTCAGCACAATCGAGCAACTAGGAAGTAATATTATTCGAACAAGCCTTGTGCTGCAATGGAGCTGGACATTTCTTGTTTATCTGATTTCATTTAGCAGACCAATAAAAAAGA